TACTTCTACTCCATCTTTAATTGAAAACTGTTCTGCTTCTGACCAACCAATCACTGAAATCTCAATGAAAAGTATGCTACTCTCCCTGCGACAAACACTACATGACAACCTGACAGCAACTTTATCGCAAATCTCAACCGCGGTACAAAATCAAGACCACCACATCCACCACATTGAGAACAAAATGGGGGAAATGTTTGCGGCACACAATGACCTAATAGACACTCACGCAGACCATGGAGCTGACATAGAACAAATTAACCTAAAATTGGCAGACCTAGAAGACTGCTCCAGGCGGAACAATATTAAATTCCACGGAATACTGGAGTTTATCACTACGGGAGACATAGTCCCTTACATCCAGCAATATATGAAGCACCTCATCCCTTCTCTAACAGATGTGGAGCTCGCCATAGACCGCGCACACAGAATACCAAAACCATCATTCCTACCGTCCGCAATACCTAGAGATATCCTAGAGCGCGTACACTTCTACCACGTGAAAGAAAAAATAATGATAGCTGCTAGAAACCCTACCTCAATTCCAGCATCTCAGGTGAATATCAAACTATTCGCAGACCTATCCAAAGCCACACTTCTCAACCGCAAGAAACGTATTACCATAACAAAAGCGCTGCGGAACCATGGAATCGGCTACCAATGGGGTTTCCCCACGAAGCTCATTGTTAAACATCAAGGAAGGCTCTACAAGATCAAAACCCTAGAAGCAGACATCGAAGTCCTGAAAACATGGAACATCTTACCAGTGGACTCCCACCAATCCACCTCTACTCGACCACAACAAATGGATGCAGAATGATCCTGAACCAATAGTCCCTAATATCATTCACCACCCAACACACTGGGTAACACCTCAGAAACTACTAAAGGCTGGTAGATGGCCCCTATCTGAACATTTCTAAACTTCAAGTTTTTTGTCAACATGACTCCTTTCTTGAGTCATGTATGTTCTCGTTCCCCCGTTATACAGTATCAAAATGTGCTACACATGTTACTTGTATTTTTCAAAAGTTCTTTTTACCCCTACCCTCCTCACACCACCAGTCGCTCAAGTCAACTCCTCTTTTTCTCAAGCACATCCATTACAAGCGGAAATACCCTCCTCAAACCAGCAATCAAATCAAGTTCACCACTCCTTCTCTATGGAAGCTTTACACCTACGACAAAGGAAAACCCACCTTCTTCCACAACTTGTGAATCATCTCTGCTACTCCATGCTACCCGTCTACACCAGCAACATGATTAGCATATCATCCTTGAATGTCCATGGCCTTAACTCTCCTTACAAGAGATCCCTACTACAAAAAGAAGCTCGCTCCTTACAAGCTGACATCTTATTCCTCCAAGAATCCCACTTTGCCTCCACCAAAATCCCCAAATTCAACATACACCACTTCTCATTGATATATATGGCAACCAACTCAAAGAAAAAGAAAGGCGTCATAACACACATAAAAGACTCCCTCCAATTCCAATATATCTCAGAAGTAGCAGACCCTAAAGGCCGCTACCATATTCTGATATGCAAGATCAACAAAATGCTATATACCCTGGTCAACATCTGCGGTCCAAATACCAACCAACTCCAATTCTACAACAATATAATCTCAATCATCTCTACCCAGAGACAAGGAAGGCTACTATTAGGAGGAGACTTCAACATCATAGGCAACCCACTCCTGGACTCTTCTTCCAGTAAACGCTCCTTCAAACATACCTTTTATTCGCTTTCTACACAACAACGATCTCTACGATATATGGTGATGCCAACACAGTATGGAAAAAGACTACACCTACTATTCTCTGGCCCACCTCTCCTACTCCAGAATTGACTTTTTCATCACAGACAAGTGGATTGTACAACATATCACCTCCTCCAAGATCGGCACCATAACATGGTCAGACCACGCTCCAATTTCCATTACTCTAGACCACAATCAACATTATATGATCCCTCAAATATGGAGATTGAATTCAACCCTACTGAAAAATCCAGACCACAGAAAACATATATTGGCCGCGCAAAATATGTTTTTTGAAATGAATGAATCACCTGATATCTCTATACCTATACTATGGTCCACTTACAAGGCATACATGAGAGGTATTCTTATTCAACTAAACTCCCGTATCTCTAAACAAAGAAACCAACAAATTGATGAACTCCTCATGTCAATTAAAACAAAAGAAGAATTAAACAAAAAATCCCCAAACCCCTCAACCTCTGCTTCCCTCACCACAGATAGAAACAAGCTCAGATCCCTCCTGCTTTATAAATAGGACCTTAACCTTCAAAAAACGAAAACAAAATTTTACTCCATGAGCAACAAAGCCAATTCCCTATTAACAAAAATGATTAAACAGCGACGCTTAAAATCCAAAATATCCTCAGTTCAACAGCCAACCACGCATACCTTAACCACAAACCCACAAGAAATGCTTTTTGCGAGCTATTATCAACAGCTATACAATCTTAAAAATGATTCTGACACTATCCAACCAACACTATAATCCATACAACAATTCCTTCACACAACTAAACGTCCCCAACTCTCCCCATCTCAACTTGACGCTATATCTACTCCGATATCTCCCAAGGGAATAGAAAATACCATCAAAACACTCCATCTTAACAAATCTCCAGGAAACTACGGTTATACGAACAAATTTTACAAATATTTTGCCCCTAATCTATCACCATGCCTGTCCAAACTCTTTAACCATGCAGCCACCACTGGTATATTCCCCAAAGATATGCTACAGTGGATAATAACAACAATCCCAAAACCTGGCAAATACCCGCAGCTTGTCCAAAATTATAGACCAATTTCCCTACTCAACACAGGCATAAAACTCTATGCAAAAGTGATAGCTCGCAGACTACTCCCTTATCTTCCTACCTTAATACACCCAGACCAAGTAGGATTCATACCAGGCTGCCAAGCACCCAATGCCACCAGAAGACTTATATCTCTTCTCCACCATTTAGAACATACCAAACAACCCTCAATACTCTTATCCTTAGATGCAGAAAAAGCATTTGACTGAATACATTGGCTATTTATGAGAATGACCCTACAGAAATTTGGTATCACAGGGTGGATGTTAACGGTCATCTTATCACTATACTCCTTCCCCTCAGCCAGAGTGTCAGGAATGGACTGGCCAGCAATAGTGGGACTCACCTGCCTTGTGAGCTGCAGTACCAGGGCTGGCCAGCGGGTGCTCCCAGCAATCAGAGACTCAACCTTGCAGCCAGTCAAACACCCTGGAACTAATTATACTGGTGTATTTAAGGGACATTCAGACCTGCAGACTCTGCCTTGGTGTTGTGTTTTTCCTGGGCCCTGTATCTTGTTCCTGCATCCTGCTCCTGTTCCTGTTCCTGTCTTGTTGCTGACCCAGCTTGATTCTGTCCTCTGCTGACTTCTCCTGTTCTGATCCCTGGCTTGTGACCCTGACCATTCTCTGCCTGACCCCCTGTACCTACCTGCCTGTTAGTTGCTGTACCCTGCTCGTGACCTGACTATTCTCCGCTTGCTCCCCCTGTACCTACCTGCCCGATTGATATTGACCCGGCCTGCCTGACGACGCTTGCACTGTATGTACTGTTATCTGTGGGTGGTTTGGTTTGTTTGCACTGTGTTATGTTTTAGTATTGTACTGCGTTTATGTTTGTATTGTTAGTGTTAATAAATTGTTTATAACTTATCTGAAGTCTGCGTTTCCCTCCTCACACACCTCTGGTCACACACCTCTGGTCATACCCGGGAGCCCTGACATTACACCAAGGCCAATCCTGACCAGAAGGGGCTGCACAGGGAAGCCATCTTGGTTTGTTGATGGGAAGGATGGATCTGGATGAGGTTGCGTATTTATATCTGCTAGTGTTTGATGACAGGGAGTATGCTTATCAAACTCTGAAGGAGTATACCCGGGATGAACTGCTAGAATGTATACGGCTCGCTCATGTTCTAGTAGATCAGGGCACAGAGTTCTCTGAGGTGCAGCCATTGATTGAGGTTTGTGCTGAGTTGGTTTCATCTGGTACCCCCGAATGCAGGGATGAATTTTTGCCACCATTTAGTGCAGACCAGGTAGAGTCCCTGGTATGGTTATTAGAGGATGATGTGGGTTACTTTCTGGAGCGTTATTCCACATGTTCACCACAGGTACTAAGAGATTGTATAAACGCAGTGCAGTCTTTGGTCAGACAGGCTTTGTGTAAGCTCAGCTTTGTTCAACCCATACTGCAGACATGGACAGATTTGTTACACCCCAGCCTCAGTCAGCTTACAAAGACCCAGTCCTGCTTCTAATCTATCTCCTCAAAGCTCTGCTCCTGTATTCCCAACAGCTCCTCCAGTTACAGCCCAGTATACTTGGCTATCTACCGCATGTCAGTACCCTGTTCCCACTCGCTGCACCTATCCTGCCTTTAACCCTGTAAAGAAGCCCTCTGTAGCGACTGTTCCTTCCCCTGTTCCATCCTCCAGCTCTTTTCTGTCTCCAGCTGCTCCATTCATTTGCAGACCTGCGTTTACTTGCAGTGCCCCAGTAGTTAAAACCAGAAAAAAGCGAAAATTCTTTCCAACCAGTTCCATCCTGCCAGTATCCAAACCGGTGAACCTGCCGTCTGAGAACCTGCCTTCCGTGGTTCAGCCTGAAGCCTCTACTCAGCCTGAAGCCTCTACTCAGCCTGAAGCCTCTACTCAGCCTGAAGCCTCTACTCAGCCTGAAGCCTCTACTCAGCCTGATGCCTCTCTTCAGCCTGATGCCTCTCTTCAGCCTGATGCCTCTACTCAGCCTGATGCCTCTACTCAGCCTGATGCCTCTACTCAGCCTGATGCCTCTACTCAGCCTGATGCCTCTACTCAGCCTGAAGCCTCTACTCAGCCTGAAGCCTCTACTCAGCCGGATGCCTCTACTCAGCCGGATGCCTCTACTCAGCCGGATGCTTCTACCCAGCATACTGAACTGATCCAGCCTGATGATCCTATTAGGCCAGTTGACTCGATGCCCGCTGTTGATCCAGATAATCCGGTACCCGCTGTCGTGCCAATTGACTCGGTGCCCACTGCCTTGCCAGATGATGCGGTGCCCGCTGGCGAGCCAAATGACCTGATGCCTGGTGACCCAGTGCTCGCTGTCATACCTGGTGACCCGATGCCCGCTGTCGAGCCAGACGATCCAATGCCAGACGACTCGGTGCCCGCAGTTCCGCCAGTTGACTCGATGCCCGCTGTTCCGCCAGTTGACTCGGTGCCCGCAGTCTTGCCAGACGACTCGGTGCCCGCAGTCTTGCCAGTCGACTCGGTGCCCGCAGTCTTGCCAGGCGACTCGGTGCCCGCTATTCCGCCAGTTGACTCGATGCCCGCCGCAGTTCCGCCAGACGACTCGGTGCCCGCAGTCTTGCCAGGCGACTCGGTGCCCGCAGTCTTGCCAGGCGACTCGGTGCCCGCTGTTCTGCCAGTTGACTCGGATGCCCGCTGTTCCGCCAGACGACTCGGTGCCCGCAGTCTTGCCAGACGACTCGGTGCCCGCAGTCTTGCCAGATGACTCGGTGCCCGCAGTCTTGCCAGACGACTCGGTGCCCACTGTCGTGCCCTGGTGACTCGGTACCTGTCGCTCCGCCTGGGGGTCCGGCGCGCCCGCCGCTCTGCCTGGGGGGCCTGAGACCTGTCGCTCCGCCTGGGGGCCTGAGACCTGTCGCTCCGCCTGGGGGGCCTGAGACCTGTCGCTCCGCCTGGGGGCCTGAGACCTGCCGCTCCGCCCGCCTGGGGGCCCGATGCCTGTCGCCCCGCCTGGGGGCCCGGTGCCTGTCACCCCGCCTGGGGGCCTGGTGCCTGCTGCTTCACCTGGTAATCCGATGTGCCTCTGCCCGGAGTCCAGCCCGATGTGCCTCTGCCCGGAGTCCAGCCCGATGTGCCTCTGCCCGGAGTCCAGCCCGATGTGCCTCTGCCCGGAGTCCAGCCCGATGTGCCTCTGCCCGGAGTCCAGCCCGATGTGCCTCTGCCCGGAGTCCAGCCCGATGTGCCTCTGCCCGGAGTCCAGCCCGATGTGCCTCTGCCCGGAGTCCAGCCCGATGTGCCTCTGCCCGGAGTCCAGCCCGATGTGCCTCTGCCCGGTGTGCCTCTGCCCGGTGTGCCGCTGCCCCGGAGTCCTGCCCGGTGTGCCAGTCTTTGATATCCCGCCAGTTACCAGACCCGGGCGGTGGAACATTTTGCCCAGCTAGGACTGTTTGGAGCGTCCTGAGGCCGCTCCTTGAGGGGGGGGTACTGTCAGGAATGGACTGGCCAGCAATAGTGGGACTCACCTGCCCTGTGAGCTGCAGTACCAGGGCTGGCCAGCGGGTGCTCCCAGCAATCAGAGACTCAACCTTGCAGCCAGTCAAACACCTGGAACTAATTATACTGGTGTATTTAAGGGACATTCAGACCTGCAGACTCTGCCTTGGTGTTGTGTTTTTCCTGGGCCCTGTATCTTGTTCCTGCATCCTGCTCCTGTTCCTGACCCGGCTTGATTCTGTCCTCTGCTGACTTCCCCTGTTCTGATCCCTGGCTTGTGACCCCAACCATTTTCTGCCTGACCCCCTGTACCTACCTGCCTGTTAGTTGCTGTACCCTGCTCGTGACCTGACTATTCTCCGCTTGCTCCCCCCTGTACCTACCTGCCCGATTGATATTGACCCGGCCTGCCTGACGTCGCTTGCACTGTATGTACTGTTATCTGTGGGTGGTTTGGTTTGGTTCGTTTGCACTGTGTTATGTTTTAGTATTGCACTGCGTTTATGTTTGTATTGTTAGTGTTAATAAATTGTTTATAACTTATCTGAAGTCTGCGTTTCCCTGCGTCAGTCACACACCTCTGGTCATACCCGGGAGCCCTGACACAGAGTATTAGCAGACGGAACGTTATCAGACCCTTTCGATATCACCAATGGTACTAGACAAGGCTGCCCATTATCTCCCATCATATTTGCATGGCTCATCGAACCCTTAGCCTCTAAACTCAGGGACGACCCAGTATTCACTGACATCAAACACCTTAACACTAAACACACAAAATTAGTCTATTTGCAGAGGACATCATATTAATGATTACCAACCCAACCAAATCCCTCAAAACGATACACACGCACTTTCAACAGTATTCGACGGTCTCTTTATTATAAACTCAGTGAACCCAAATCTTCAATCCTAAATCTCCACACACACCACACCAAACCCAAGTATTACTTGTTAAACAATTCCCCTTCTCCTGGGAAAAAAAACGACATCACCTACTTAGGAATCAAACTCACCGCAACAACAGACCAACTATTCTCCTCAAACCATAAAATACTACTGGAAACTATACCCCCAAAAATTGCCACCCTTCACACCTCAGAACTTTCCAAATTAGGCCGAGTTGCAACCTTGAAAATGTACATCCTACCAAAAATCCTATACATTTTTCGCACACACTTTCCATACCAGTTCCTAACACATTTTTCTCCAAATTACAATCGATTCTCTCCAGATTCTTATGGAACTCTAAAAAACCTAGATGTACCACCAATCTCTTAATATGGCCATCTTTCAAAGGAGGCGCAGACCTCCCACATTTAAAATCCTACTATAATGCTACTCTTCTGGACCAAATATATTTTTGGTAGAACCGAACCAGAGAAAAAATCTGGTCTACAATGGAAACCTTACCCTTTCTTCCACTTAAACCCCAAAATTTACTTCTAATTCCATCAATGTCACAAACAAATTACCAATTAAAGCACCCATGTATCCAAGCCGCTCTTCAAACCTGGCACAATCTTCTGACCATGGAATACACAGATCCCAAACAAATTCTCACCGCAATTGACATATTACATTCCATCACACCCTCTATGGACCTATCTCAATGGGAAAAACGAAACATACATAAAATAACAGACCTCTATAAAGACCACACCCTACAATAATTTCAAAATTTTCAAACCAAATTCAATCTCCCTACCACTGAATACTTCACCTATTTAAAAATCGTCCACTGTATGCGAACAAAGAATATACCTCACACCACAAAAATCCGTTATACCGCCTACCTTTTCTTTACCAAACCACAATACCCAGGTAAAGGCATCTCCACTTTCTACAAGTACATAACAAACCTGAAATTTGCTCTAAAATCTACCTCTCTATCCAATTGGGAAAAAATCCTTTCAGAAACAAAATTACAACGCAGACATGGAGCACAACATTTAATACCACCTACAAATCATCCCGCTGCAGCTTGCACTGGGAATCATATTTAAAAATCCTCCACCAATGGTACCTAACCATCATTGTCCACATACTTTTTCGCAGCAAAAATCAATATAACCAGATTATGGAACACCACTACTGCTCCTTCATTCAAATCACTAATTACAGATCTTAATTTCCAATGCGAAATGGAAAAAAGATTGGCCTTCAACAACTCCACCCAATACAAATTTAACTCCCAATGGACTAGCTGGTTACAACATCCTAATTGCTCAGTACAAACCTGATATCTTACAAACAATTGAACTACCCACCCATTTTAGACTGGTACTCCTTTTTTTCACCCCATTACACTTCCCCCCCACCCTCCCTACCCTCCTCCTTATCCCCCCCTTTTTAATACCCCCTCACCATGGTTCAGTATATAAACCAAGTCTACCTCTGATGCTAATGGCTTAATCCCAAGTTTTAACCCCAGCCAAATGGTGGGCTAAATCCGTACCAATACTGTATTGTATGACTATACTTTCTATTGAACTGAACGTCATTATTACTTTACTTTGTTATTGAAAATCTTCAATAAAAAATATTGAAATTAAAATAGGGAAACTCGCCTCGTCTTTATACACAAATTATACGCCAACAATCAAAAAAATTATAGGAGAGTTGGAGATGTGGAAAGACCTGCCTTTATCACTCCTGGGGAGGTCTCACCTCTTCAAGATGGTGAGCTTCCCGAAACTCTTGTATCCTCTTCAAACTATACCCCTCCTGCTTAGGCATAGCAATATAACTAAACTAAACAAGGCAATATCCAGATTTCTGTGGAAGGGCGACGCCCACACATTGCACTACACAAGTTATTTCTTCCAAGGAGTGAGGGGGGGGTCTGGACTTCCTAATAAACAAATTTATAAGCTTTTTTGTTTATTACGCGTTTGCCTGGACTGGCTGACCCAGTCGTCCAAATACTCCATCAATTTGAATCCGCTATGGTCCATCCATTTAATCTCACGGCCCTTCTACATTCAAACTCTAACTCGCTCGCACCCCGTTTAAAACATAACTAACTCATACGTGATACTCTTATAGCATGGAAAGAGGTCAGATGTAAACTAGGGGTTTCTCCTTGGCTGTCTTGCTTTCTTCATAACCCTTCTTTCTCTCTCCCACAACCACATGCAGCTTGTGAAATGTGGAATACACATGCTCTTATATTTGTAAGACAACTGTTTGACATCTCCTCTGGCTCTCCCTTGCCTTTTCACCACATCCTGAAATCCTGCAATCTACCTTCTCATCACTTTATGTACATTTTACAAGCACAGAACTTTGTAAGCTCAATGGCTCCAATCAAATCTACCAGATTTCGCACATCGATAATAGACGTACTAGCCAAAAATCAAAAATACTAAATATCCAACATATATGGTCCATTAAATCTGCATTATACGAAACCTCTAGAAACTTCCACATCTGTGAACTCATGGGCTAAAGACTTTGACAATGCCTTCACTGTAGATCAATTAGTAACAGGTTTTAACACCACATGTGCGTTTAACTCAAATGAGTTTTGGCGTGAGCAACAATTTAAGATCATGCATCATGCATATATGCCTTGTCTCTACTCGAAGCTCAATCCTTCCATATCTACCTGCCCTCTTTGTGGATGTTACAAACCTTCATTACAGCACAGATTTTGGCTTTGCCCACCAATATCTATCTTCTGGAACCAAGTGCTTAGCTTAATAACATTTACCACCAATCTTCAAATGTCCAAGGACCCATTACTCCTCCTCTTCGGCAACTTGGAACAACCTGCTTCAGGAACTTCCTCTACACAGCTTGCAACCCTCAGGAAAAACAAACCATGGCTTTCCACTTGCCTATTGGTAGAGTGAAGAGCTATATTAAAAAAATGGGTCTTGAGCTATCCACCAAGCATATCAGATGTCAAGCAGGATCTTAATTTTCTTCTCCGACTAGATAGACTCAATCTATTATCCTCACCCAATAATCACAGAGCTGATTACTATAACCAGAAATGGAAGCTTTACATCTCTGGATCATTTTCCATATCGAAACAACACTTTTTCCTCTTCAAGACTCTAAAGTCGTGAGCCATGTCCCTAAATCTTTCTATTGATGTATTGACATTTTGCTTATTGCATGCATATTTGAGATATACTACTCATGTTGTGTCTGACAGCTAATACACC